AGTACTAGACCATTTCCAAACATCTCACAGCAAGGCTAGGAAAATATGGAACAACTCGTGATAAATTAGCGTGAGCCAAATTCTACGTCAGTCTGAGATGGTGCCATTCTGCTGAATCTGATGTTGTGTGCGCTTTGCTGCCTCACAATGATGAGTTTGTTCTTCTATAGAAACCCATTGCACTTGAGCAGTGTCTAAATGGATGGAAACCTCCAGAAAATCTAGATCCTTAGGGCTGGCTGCTGCTTTTTAATGAAAACACGTGGGCTACTCACCTGTTTGGGTGTGAGTGGTGCAATTAGTAAAGCCCTATAACAAAATGATCATGTAGACTTTCTTTCTGAAATAAACACAACTGATGTGAAATGAACTAAGCACCAAAGACAAGACAGCATAGGCTTCCTTCCCATGGAAGTTGGTTATAAAGTAAAATAGAGATAGAAAGGTCTTTTTGATCTCCCTTCTTCCTAGGAAGAGTTAGGAAGGCACACAACCAAAAGAAACCTCGTATTTTGCCCCTGAACCTACTATTATATTTGTGTTAACAGTAACTCACTGAAGTATTTTGTTCTGATCAGCTGTGACGCAGAACCAAAAGTTGAGGCTTACTTTGAGCTTCCTATACACATACACGTTGACAGATACATATATATTTACAGAAACATGTTACATACACACCTATATATGTGTGTACAAAAATAATTCTTAGCTATGATGTCTCATGCTAAGCATGGCCCTTGCACATGGGCCTCGTTCAGACATGAACAGAGCACCAGCGATCCCTTCCCCCAGTGTGCACATGGTACTGGACTTGACCTGGTCTGTCACTCAGTCTCCTTGGCACTGTACCCGTTAACCCTTGGAAGGCAAAGGGGTTACACAGGTAAGCCTGCCTTGGCTGCTGCAGATGAGGTGTGATGAGCTGCAGTCCTCAGGACTGTGGGGTCTCAAGACCGCATACAACTGTGGTACTTGCCAGGTGAACACGCTCTGCAACTCTGCATTGCCTCTGGTGCCAAGTAAAGGAAGCCATTTATTTTGAATCACAGCTCAGTTCTTTACTCTGTTCACGTACTGTATATGTCTCCAGATGAATAGTGAGAGCCTGGCATCTGCTTGCAACTGAACCTTCTGTGAAGTGCGATCTCCAGTTGATCGGAATTGCTATATATTATGGAAAAAACCCGCCCATATTGCCAAGTTGTACGATTGAGATGTGAGTAGTTGTCAGCCAGATTTGACAGCCTTTGCTTTGACATATGTTATGCATTACCTATTATTAATAACCACACTGGACTGGGTCCAAAGTTGGTATCGTACAAAACCACTCCAGTCTTCATAGCCCAAAAGCACTAGTTTTGTCATGAGGAACAACCAGAAAATACACCGGCTTTTCTGTACTAAGGAATGTAGAGCTGCTCCATAATTCATCTTAATTCTGAGTTGTAATTCTGAGTTGAAAATCCACCAAAGACAAAATATTGAAGAAATATTTATTATGAACTCTTAATCTTTGTATTGTTTAGTACTGGGGTACCTGCCAGCGTGCTCACCTTCACATCCCAGACAAAAAAGGAGCCTTGTTTTCATCCTTATAGCTTTACTGACCAGGGGACATAACCTTGCAGGTACACCCATGTTGAATGCCACTCAAGTCCCTGGGAGTTTATAACTCCGGACTACTTGTAGGGAGACATAGAACCGGAGTGTATGAGCACAATTCAAGAGTTACTAGTTGAAGTTCAGATTATAAAATCTTTGTCTATTAACTAGGTAGCATGAGTAAGGCAAAATGGGTTACAGAAAAGCAGTGAACTGATGCACAGTTGGTCGTATTTATGACTACTCACTGTTGTTTATTTTAATTATGAAGTATATATAGTTATGTGTATACATTTAAATCTACTTTGGTCTTTTAACCATATATCTCAAGCACTTAACAAATGTGAACTGAGATTTGCAATACCTTTGGGGGGGCACAGGGAAACAGTAACCTGTTACTGCCTGGGTTGAAATAGCAGGTGGTTTCCAGCATACAGAAACCATAAACAAGACCAGTGTGAAGATTCCCTTTCTGAGCTCTGCTGAGCCTTATTTTATCTGTTCTCGACTTGTTTGCAGAGAAGCTAGGACTGTGAATGGGCTATTGTTCTGTGGGGATGCTGATGTCATTTTTAGGTAGCTGACCTCATTGCTGGACACACCCAATGCAGGGAGAGCAGTCTTCAAGCCATGCATCTGTAGGCACTGCATCAGATCCAGACAGTTGATATAGAGGTAGCGAATTTCTGTAGTGAAGTCTCAAGCTTGCCACAGGCTGAAGCATCCTTCCTATGAATCCTAATACCTTAATGCTTTCCTCAAAACGCAGACACTTGTCCTGAAAGGCTTGTGCCTGGTTGTAGATAGAGGCAAGAGCTTGGTGACAAAGGATAATTCATGCAGGACACTCATATGTCTGTAACTACAGTGGTTTTTAAAAGTATAAAGTGTGTGACGTGAGAGAGCTGTTAGCTCTTCTAGTTAGGGTCTTGTTGAATCTTTCCAGGCTGTGGCAAACATAAGGGATTTGTGGCTTGATTTTATTTTTCTTTTATTCTTTTTTCTTTTCTCCTTCAGGTTTGACATTCTTCAACCACGGATGCACCTATGTGTTAAGCAATAAACTCCTGAGCAGACCTTTCTTTTCCTAGGAACATGAAGGAAGGTACTGCAAAAACCTCCATAGGAAGATCAGGGTAGCTAGGGGCAGCCAAGAACGGGAATGACCCAGACCCAGTGATGGTCAGCAGTGGGGCAAGGGGGATTTCAGACTGTACAGGTGGCTGTGAAGGTGCACAGTGGAGCTCTGGATGTACCTACAGCTCTACCACAAGAAGCACCAGCTTCCCCGGAGCTGAGTGTGCCTGGCCAGCAGTCTCCCATCCTTGCTGGTGGAGATTTGAGGCAAAATTGCTCAGCAGAAAGGAGAAATAATTTGCCCAATGGAAGGATCACAGCACCATCTGCTGGGACTGCTCCTCGGTCCCACAGCAGGAGGGGGCTCGTGTCATTTCCATGGCAAATACAGGATAATTTTCCCTTTTCCTTAAGTATTGGAGAGCCAGAAGGCAGCTGAACATTCTCTCCCAAAGAAAGTGTTGCCCAAGAATGAAAAAAACTGGTTTATGCATTAGCTGAATTCATAGGGGGGTTTTGCCTGGGTTCAACTGACTTCAGCATCAGCATGTCATTTGAGAGCCTCTTTCCTACCCTCAATCTTTTTTGTCAGTTTGTCCTTTTTCCCTCCCTCCTTCACAGCGTGTTCCCTCTGCACAGCACTGCAGCACTCTTTATTGCCCTCCTTCACTCAGGTCCGCTTCGTGTGCGAGCCCGACTGTCTCGGGTGATGTAGGGGCACGGCCATCAGGAAATTTGCATTGCTCAAGGCTGGTTCATAATGCTGTTTTCATATTTCCACTGAAGGTGCAGAGGATATTTTGCTAAAGCATTTACTTATTGCAACTTTCCAAACGCGGCTGCAAACTTAGAATTGCTCTGCTCCAGCACAGCTGCTTCTTTGCTATTAACAGGAATAGATACCGGGCTCATCCCCAAATACTGAAATAATTCCAACTACGCCACTTTGGCTATCGAGGGGAATTAAAGGTACTAGCTGCTCTGCAGCAGCTCGCTAGTGTACGATAGCCACCAGGGCAGCCTTCCCCCAGGGGAGGGGAGCCCGACAGGGGCGAG